GTTTGCAGGTCTCGCGCGGCACTACGGGTTCTCTCGCACCCTGTCTGACCTCTTCTGTCCACAAGGCAACGGAGCCGTTGAAAGGGGCGTGCAGACTGTCAAAACGATCATAGCATAACCGGACCCTTACTTCGCTCTGATGACGCATCGAGCGGCACCACTAGAAGTGACCGGCCATTCGCCATCTCAGCCTATCATGGAACGCAACATCCGATTCTGACCTCCGACATCCAAGCCCCATCTCGTGCCTCGATGGCCTGACATGGCCAGTGACGCGAAGCAGCGAAGCGAGGCTCACTTCAACCATCGGATCCCTCCCTCCGCCGCATCCTGGAGATGTGTTCACCCGGCTGCCCGGAGAGCAGACGTGGGCGTACCGTCATCAACTCGCCAGCAGAGCCGGCGACCGGTCCACCTACGTCAGGGGCCGCCGATCCCTATCGCGATAAATCTGTAGAGCCAGCTCGCCTCTGTGTGCGTCGTTGGCGCAAACAAGCTGCTCAGCTAGTTGGTGACTTGGTCTTGTGTTTGGTATTGAACCGCTGAATTCAGTCAACAAGGTAGTCTTGTATTAAACACTGAACATTTTGATAAAAGGTGTGAGGGGCGGGGGGGCGGGGGGGGGGTCGTGAATTGGAACCAATCCTGACGCATGTAAATTTACCTAACCTTGACGCTGGCATGTGCGGAGTATTCCGTTGACCTTGACGAGAATATGCAATGTCACGCTGAAACAGGGGGCAGCCAAATCTTCATTTCGGGCCACCACGAGCCAAACATTTGATTTCAAGCGGCACCAAATTAAAGCGGGCTATTCAATGTACACTGAAACCTTCATATTCAAGCGGTATCAAAATTCGGTGGCACCACAATCTATTGCCCTTTCACCCTGTCACCCTCACAAAATCGCGGATCAGCTGCTTAGAAGAAGGGGATCAGAAAAACTTTCCTTTTGTTGGATCATAACCTTTATTTTTAAGACAGCCAATACCAGGGGCATCGCAAAAAGACCCAGAACTTTATTTTGAGTAGACAACAAATTCTAGGAGGCATGGACGATGACCGTGCTTCAACATCGACAAAATCCTGGAGTCGCCCATTCGACGAAGGTCGCCAAAATGCCCATTCTCGGGCATCATAATCAAGGGGCACCGCATCCACAGGGGTCGCTTAGAGGACCCAAAACCTTAATTACGAAGGGATGGCAAATCTAGGGACATCACAAGTTCTGTATCTTCCGCCGTGACGAGATCCTGGATCGTTTCCTTCGGGGAAAGGGCACCAAAGCCCCCATTTCGGGACATCGTAACCTTAATTGTTGAAAGATATACAATTTCAGGAGCACTACGAATGACCTCATATATATATATATATATATATATATATATATATATATATATATATAAGTCCAAGAGAGCCTCCATCATGGGCATACGTAAGAGGCAGAGCGGTATATGACCCCCTTTAGGCCTTTTGGTTTCGAGGGTCCTCAGTGTCCCGAGCGGGTGGCCCGTCGGAACCAACGATCAAGGGACTAAAAGGAGGATGCGGAAGGCAGGTCGGAAGTCAGATAAAGGAAGCCCAACCCGAAGGCCAGACTCTAAAATGCCGTCAGAAGGCATCTTGCATCGATCGGGGGCGCATGGAGCAGTGAGAGCCTCTTTGTCAGTCAGTTGATCGAAGCCACCAATACCGAACAGTCGGCTCTGTGCCGGTCTCGGCCCTGGGAGTCCCTTTCCCAAGCAGGGAGGAGGCTGGGGTCTGAAAACGTCAATTAGAAGACCTCCTGCATTGGTCGAGGCACCTAAAGCAGTGAGGGACCCATGTTGCCCAGGAGTGGCCCACAGTGTCTAACAGGGCACCCTGTGTTGTCAATGGTCCTCAGTCGGCCAGAGACACATTTGCTGAACAGAGACGTAGGCGGGACGCCAAATTCAAAGAGCCTCTTGCGTTGGTGCCGCTGCGACCCTCTTGACAATGGGAGGAGATGTGACGAATGACATTGCAATGGTTTGCATCCAAAATGAGACGGTGGAAAGGCCCTGTGTCTGCCGGGGGCCGCAGTGCCGAACGAGGATCGTCCGCGCTGTTCCAACCATGACCAATAAACCGCGTTGGTGCCTCTTTGCTAATCATTGGACTCCATGCACCGGTTAGAAATCCTTTTGCGTCAGTCTGGGCCCCTGCATAGATCCAGTACCAGATGTCTCAGTCAGAGGGCTTACCGTATCAGGGAGGGGACCGGCGCGGTGCATGATATATATCTCTGAGGACCTCCGGATTGGCCAGGGGGGCCCGGTCTCCGCGTCGCCCGAAATAGCAGTCGTTTGGGACCCCGCGCTGTGGCGGAAAGGCCCTTCAGTTCTTGACTAGGGAAGCGCACCTCTGAATTTCCGAGGTTGATGCTCTGGATGGAATCAACAGTTCCAGCAAAACGGACAACAGAGATTACATCGCCGTAATGCCATAAGTTTGTGGTGCTGATCCGTTCGGAGTATCAATATTAAAATTGTACAGGGGAAATCTACGGCCTGTGCTCTCTTCTACGCCTGGACGAACTGATTTCTTCGAGCAATAGAAATTCCCGACACGTGGTTGTTTTCTTCCGCCTGCTGTCCACTACCGAGTGGTAGCTGCCGGGCTAAACGCCGGGCGTTCTATGGAGACTGCAATATTGGGCATCGGTGCTCTAAACTGCAAGCGCTCGTGCTTTAAGCCTATTTCACATAACGTTCGATGGATTCTAAAAAAGGATGAGCTTTGACAAACAAGCAAAGGCCGGGTATATCAGCGCGCATATTTAAGCCATTGTGATTCCCGCTGATGCTCGATCCACGGGCCTCTTAACATCTTTGTAAGATCCTGGGGAAAATCGGCAACGCCGCTGACTGTTGTTTGAAAACGAAGGTCGAATGTACCATTGCGAAGAGAATGGTGCTCGCCATTTACTCAATGCAGTCTTTTGTTTCCCGATGATCTCATTAACTTTACTTGAAAACGCAAGAATAGTTATACTCTGTTTTGTGGTATGGTTATTATTGCATTTCATGGTTATGATCTCCCTTTATAAGGTGGGCTGAGCCTGGCCGATGTTTTGGGGTGGTTTGGGTGCAGGAGGATTAGATCCCCTGGTGCCTTTGCGCCAGCAGGGGTCCTTAATTTATCGCGGTGCCTTTCTTACCGAGACTATCGCTGCGCCCCTGACCACAGTTTCTGCGCATCCCTTGATGAAATCCCGAAGATCAGTCCAGGTCAGCGTAGTGAATGACGAAGGGATCGTTCTACCCTGAAGCCCGCATTTATGTGTTGTTATTTTAGAACCGCACATGAACCTTGACAGAAAGTAACAAGAGATATACACTTCACCTGGAGCAATGCTTACGGTGAGATCAATTGCCATTGGGCAGATCTGTGTGTGTGGCACAACAACAGCAGTTCGATATGTCCGCACTCGAACCAATACAAAACATAAGGGCAGGAATGAAGCGTGCGTTCAGCAAATCTGTCGTTGATGCGCAGACATGTAACTGAATATCATAGACAAAAACGCCATTGCAGGTAAGTCGCGCAGCTTTAGCGTTACGGAAAAAGTTGTTCATCGAACTGATAAGATACGGTTCAATGGACAACGGACGAAAATCTGAAGCAACCCACGTACCCATTTCGAAAGGTTATTTCAGTTACCTTTTTGAGGTACACAAAACATTGTGTGTGATAGTGATGTTGATTTGTTTATTAGGACATAAGCATTCCCAACGCGAAAAGCCCAATCACGGAAGCAGTCCGGTTCAAGAACAATAAATATACGGTACACACACAAACGAAAACCTAGCCAAACACACACACACACACACACACACACACACACACACACACACACATTGCACGCAGTCTCACATCAAGTCATCAAGCGGATGTTCCACGCGTGCCCACGAACCTAAACAAATCAGATGAATTATTTCGTTGGA